GTGGACTTCCCGGAGAAGTTTTTGAACTTACGGAATGAGCTAAATTTCAAACATGAAGCATTGCTGGAGGACAAGGAAGTCGAGAGAAGGGTGGCAATCTACGACGGGCTAGTAGAGAAAGGGGCAAACTTAACGCCTATGGAATTTATGATATTTATGGACCGGAGTTATATCTTTAAGTATCCGGTAGTGAATGCCGAGGAATTATTTGAGCTGGGCTCAATTCAGAGTAGGTTCCTCGCCAAGAAACTATGGAGCCCATGGAGTGGAGTCAATGTGGTTTCACAAGAAACAATGGACTTTTTGTCCTTATTCTTTGGAGAGGATGTAAGTTTGTTTTACAATACACCCAATTTTTAAAAAAATATATAAAAAAAATTTTTTTTTCAAGTGGCATGGCAACATAGAAATCGTATATAAATTTGTTTTAGTTTCAAGAAGATTTCTTCAGAAAGCCAGCAATAGAAGAAGAATTTAGGAGAAAGATAGAGCTGGATATCATGTTAGAAGAAATCTATCAAGCTTGGTGGCGGCCTTATTCAGCGCTGCAGTTTGCAGTGAGGAGCCTGAGTAGGGCCGCTGAAAACTCTCTGGAAAAGATGGCGGCTGTTAAACTAGTCAAATCTTACACGGATATAAAGTCTAATCTTTATAAAAGTTATTTTTAATTCTATTTATAAATATGTTTATTTTTGGTGTTTTGTGGTTTTATTACAAACAAAATATTTATAAAAGAGAAAAGAAAAGGCCAACAAAAAAGAATGTTAAAAAATATTAGTTTTGGCCAAATAAATAGTTGGTGTTTATTATTTCTTTTTTAAATTTGCCAATTATACTGGATGGAATTGTAGTTCCATAAAAGTTTGTAGGACGATTTGTCCGTTTAGGTCTTTTGGCCTGAGAAAGTGATCCAGGTGCGGATCGAGTGTTCTCATAGAAGCTTTCCTGAGGATGGGATATTGGGGTATCAGCCATTTTATATTTAGCTTAAAATTTAAAAAAAGAAAGAGATAAAAGTTTATAAATTTGCTTAGAAAACTTAAATTTCCGATTTGGAAATTTATTACTTCTCTTTATTTGAAAGAAAAATTTCAACAATTCTCCAGTTTGAGAATTGGAATCTTTGCTTTTTTATCTCTTTTTGAGACTTTAGCAATTTTTGCGAATTTTTAGAAGGTGAGCCTCACTGGTCGCACCAATTTATTACGCTAGCAAAACCATATACGTCGGACAAAACGCTTGCTAGGAATAAAGGGTCCTTTCTACTTCTACCTTATAAAGTAAATCTAAAATTCGCTGAGAAATATTTTATTAGAAAAAAAGTTAGTATGAATTTACAGCAAGTTGCCTTTTGACTCAATATCTATTTTAACGGTGAGATTAGAGATATTTTTACTGAGATTAGATATTATTTTAGAGATTGGTTGGGGTGTTAGAAGAGAGTGGTGTTGGTGTTAGAAGAGATATTGTTGGGTATGAATTCCCGTAGTTTTGAGCTTCTATTTATACTCAGATGGGGAAATCAGGCCACTTTTCGTATCAAATGAGAAGTTACTTCTTAACTTCGTATTCTCTATTCGTACATTCGTATTTTACGAGAAGAAGGTTTCGTATGCTCGTATTTTACGAGAGGAATCGTTAATATTCGCATTGAATGAGAATAGTCGTTTCAATTCTCAATGCTTAAAACGTTATACGAATTATTCCAATTGCATTTCCCATCCTTTTGCAAGGGAATAAAAACATATTTCTTTTGTGGTGGCGGCGGCGTCACATTTTGTGAACGCAATAAAATAATTCATGTTTCTGTTTCTATTTGAAATCAGAACACGACTGAGCCAAAAAGATCTACCGTAGCTAAGAAACAGTACTTTTCGTGAACTTTTGAAACCGCTTTTTCAAAAAAAAAACAACCGATTACGAAAATAGAGGCTTGTAGGAAATTATTGTTATTAGTGGTTATTAGTGGTTATTAACAAAAAATCAAGAAACTCAATGGCCACCTAATAATTGTCCGGGTACTTTAAAATTGCCCCTTGGGTTGATCTCTAAGGTAATTTCTGAATTTGTCATGTTTTTTGTATTAAAATGGAAAAGTACAGGTTACAAAACTTTTGAACTAAAAAAAATGTTCAAAACATAAATCAGTATGAATCAAACTTTACTGAGCCAGATTTTTTCTCTTGATGCGTCAAAATATAACCACCAAGAGGAACAATAAAGATATATTCATTATATCTTCGTGGAACTGCATCGAGTCTGTTTTGTCTGAAAATGAGAAAGGTCGACAAAAAATGACAATCACGAGGAGGATGCAAAAAATATGAGGTATCAGATGATTTTGGGAGCGAAGGGAAACTAAAGAGAAAAACCTGAACTGATTAACTGTTTTTTTAGTGGATTTAGAAAAAAAAATGGAACACTGAAAACACATGCAGCTGATCTCTAGTTCTTGGAGATAGGGTTACTCACACGGTTCTGAAGCTATGAGATAAAACTATTGATTAAAATTTTTTGAAAGAGAAACATAAGTTAAATTGTGTAGAATCTTTGCATAACATATGCTTTGCTATAGTTAGTTGGTTTTTTATGTAGGACTTTGTATCTTTTTCACAAATTTTTGATTGCTTTTTTCTTCAAAAAGAGATTATAGAACTCGCTTAGTGCGCTCTGAGTCGCAAGGAAGTACAGCTGAAAGAACATAATTTAACACGGTACACTTTTTTTACAAAATTTTGTAAATGATAAGCACTCCTTAACTTGAGAAAACCAGCAATTAACAGACAATTCGGGTAAATTAGTTTTGACTAACTGAAACTATTAGCAACTATATTTCAAACTAGTTTGTATTCTTTTACTTTTGTTTTAAATTTTTTCTGTTTCATTGATAAAACTATTTTAAAGAGTAAAAACCAAATTCAAATAATTTTTCCGTTGAAATAATTTCCTTGGACTTTAAGATTTAGTAAATGCACGCTAAAAACTAACATAGCTTACCCAAAATTTATTGTCTGGTCAAGATGAAGATGATCGCAATGAGAATATTGAGTCAGGAAGTCTAAAAGTAGCCCATTGTATCAGCTACAATCCCATCAGGTATCTTTTGCAGTAATAAATTTTACTATACCACGACAATGATTTTTACTGTGAAAAAATAGTCCTGTTGAAATTACTCAGTACAGAAGAAACATAACTAAGACATATGTGTAAAAACCACAATAGTAGAGGACAAATTTCGGAAGAAAATGAGTAATAAGTTAAGTTGAATGTTCACCTTTAAAATTTTGAGAAAATTGAATAAAAAAATACTTGAAAAAATTGTACAGAATTTTACGAACATGTTTTCAAAATAACTACATCAGAAAAATTCTTTTTTTTTTAAATTACCGTCGTTTTTTTGCTTGATGTGATAAGGATCCAAATACAAGACTAGGTTGCACCATTTTCAACAGTCATAGCGAAATAGGCTCCTAGACAACAACAAATAATGTCAAAAAATGACTGAAAACAAAACAAAAAAGCCATAAAAATAAAACTTAATTTTGTTTATCCTTCCGTAATTTGCTTACTCATGCCTTACTCCTTTACTCGCTCTTGCCTTTTTCCTTGCTTAGGCTTTAATTACTATCAGCAATGAGATCGATGAGATGATTTTGGGTTCATGCTTTTTCCTTAATAATCCTGCTCGCTTGCTCGCTCTTTTTTTCACTCGCGGGCTTACTCGCTCGAAATTTAACAAAAACACAACAAGTTCGAACCAGTTTTTCTTGACAAGGAGATTTTGCATGTAAGTTTCAAAAGTGTCCTATTTAATCCAAGAACGGCCATCACATTCGTTATGATGTTTGCCGTCAACTTTGCCAGCATGGGCATTAGTTACTGTTTCAACATTAAATTTGAAAGGAATATTTCCAATACTAGCATAGCTTAGATTAAGATAGCCTCTGTCGGCGGCCGATTTACATTGATCGGCAGATAAATGGAGATCAGTAGTGATCATATTTTGTCGAGCGTCGATACCACTCGAATCAAAAGAATCGCAGAACCAACACATTGATTGGTGTTTGATTCGACACATTGTCGCATTTACTTTTGTGCGATAATGTCTCTGATATAGAGTAACATAAGCATGGGTTACTTTAATATTTTCTGGTTGGACTTTACAAGGTGCTACTTTATTTAGAGAGAACATTTTGTTAGAAGTCATTAGTTGGCAATCATAATGAGCAACCCGAAGATTATTTGCAGTATTTGCATTAAATTGTTTTTCGGATCAAATGCTGAGGTTTGATTCGAAAGTATTATTAGAGTTAAAAGACCAACCAAATAAATTTTTTGCAATTTTTTTTTTGGTGGTCAATGACAGCAAAAGAATTTTTAAAAGTACTCACTTTAATCATTTCCTCGAGAGTGGTTAGAACATGATCTTGGTCCATTAGTTCACCTTCCTCTAATTCACTATTTGGATTTGTCATTTTGTGGATTTTTTGTGATGGGAAATCTGAGTTAGATTTCAATTTTTGTTGAGGAATTTAGCAGATTTATTTTTGGAGAGAGAGGAGGTTTTGAATGCAAGATGTGGAATTGAGCAAGAATGAAAACTACTGTATATCAGTTAGTTTTTAAAGGCTGTTTTTGCTTTTTTGCAAATCTAAGCTCTGATTGGTCGTTGTTATTCGGCGTCTTTCGGAAGTGACTCTTTTTAAGTCGTAATTCCTTCGCCATTCGTTTTGTAATGTTGTGGTTTTTTCCACTCTGGTTTACAGTCGTGGTTTTTCCACTTAGTTTTGATTTGTTGAGATCTAGCAGTGAAATGATTTTTATTCGTTTATGCTGATGTTAATTTTTAACAACTGCAATCCCCTTCCCTATTGGAGGAGGAAAATGAAAACGAAACATCTCTTCATAAAAGAGGACTAAAAGCAACATCATTTGTTTGCTTTCCATTCAGTTTTAACTATCTGTATTTTATCCTCAAAAAAAAATTTTCTTCGTCCAAAATGAATTTCATCGATCCTGAAGATAATCTGGTGGACTTCCCGGAGAAGTTTTTGAACTTACGGAATGAGCTAAATTTCAAACATGAAGCCTTGCTGGAGGACAAGGAAGTCGAGAGAAGGGTGGCAATCTACGACGGGCTAGTAGAGAAAGGGACAAACTTAACGCCTATGGAATTTATGATATTTATGGACCGGAGTTATATCTTTAAGTATCCGGTAGTGAATGCCGAGGAATTATTTGAGCTGGGCTCAATTCAGAGTAGGTTCCTCGCCAAGAAACTATGGAGCCCATGGAGTGGAGTCAATGTGGTTTCACAAGAAACAATGGACTTTTTGTCCTTATTCTTTGGAGAGGATGTAAGTTTGTTTTACAATACACCCAAATTTAAAAAAAAATACATAAAAAAAATTTTTTTTTCAAGTGGCATGGCAACATAGAAATCGTATATAAATTTGTTTTAGTTTCAAGAAGATTTCTTCAGAAAGCCAGCAATAGAAGAAGAATTTAGGAGAAAGATAGAGCTGGATATCATGTTAGAAGAAATCTATCAAGCTTGGTGGCGGCCTTATTCAGCGCTGCAGTTTGCAGTGAGGAGCCTGAGTAGGGCCGCTGAAAATTCTCTGGAAAAGATGGCGGCTGTTAAACTAGTCAAATCTTACACGGATATAAAGTCTAATCTTTATAAAAGTAATTTTTAAATCTATTTATAAATATGTTTATTTTTGGTGTTTTGTGGTTTTATTACAAACAAAATATTTATAAAAGAGAAAAGAAAAGGCCAACAAAAAAGAATGTTAAAAAATATTAGTTTTGGCCAAATAAATAGTTGGTGTTTATTATTTCTTTTTAAATTTGCCAATTATACTGGATGGAATTGTAGTTCCATAAAAGTTTGTAGGACGATTTGTCCGTTTAGGTCTTTTGGATTGAGAAAGTGATCCAGGTGCGGATCGAGTGTTCTCATAGAAGCTTTCCTGAGGATGGGATATTGGGGTATCAGCCATTTTATATTTAGCTTAAAATTTAAAAAAAGAAAGAGATAAAAGTTTATAAATTTGCTTAGAAAACTTAAATTTCCGATTTGGAAATTTATTACTTCTCTTTATTTGTAAGAGAAATTTCAACAATTCTCCAGTTTGAGAATTGGAATCTTTGCTTTTTTATCTCTTTTTGAGACTTTAGCAATTTTTGCGAATTTTTAGAAGGTGAGCCTCACTGGTCGCACCAATTTATTACGCTAGCAAAACTATATACGTCGGACAAAACGCTTGCTAGGAATAAAGGGTCCTTTTTACTTTCTACCTTAGAAAGTAAATCTAAAGTCCGCTGAGAAATATTTTATTAGAAAAGAAGTTAGTATGAATTTACAGCAAGTTGCCTTTTGACTCAATATCTATTTTAACGGTGAGATTAGAGATATTTTTACTGAGAGTAGATATTATTTTAGAGATTGGTTGGGGTGTTAGAAGAGAGTGGTGTTGGTGTTAGAAGAGATATTGTTGGGATATTAGAGAGGGAGGTTGTGGTGTTAGAAGAGATATTGTTGGGTATGAATTCCCGTAGTTTTGAGCTTCTATTTATACTCAGATGGGGAAATCACGCCACTTTTCGTATCAAATGAGAAGTTACTTCTTAACTTCGTATTCTCTATTCGTACATTCGTATTTTACGAGAAGAAGGTTTCGTATGCTCGTATTTTACGAGAGGAATCGTTAATATTCGCATTGAATGAGAATAGTCGTTTCAATTCTCAATGCTTAAAACGTTATACGAATTATTCCAATTGCATTTCCCTTCCTTTTGCAAGGGAATAAAAACATATTTCTTTTGTGGTGGCGGCGGCGTCACATTTTGTGAACGCAATAAAATAATTCATGTTTCTGTTTCTATTTGAAATCAGAACACGACTGAGCCAAAAGGATCTACCGTAGCTAAGAAACAGTACTTTTCGTGAACTTTTGAAACCGCTTTTTCAAAAAAAAAAACAACCGATTACGAAAATAGAGGCTTGTAGGAAATTATTGTTATTAGTGGTTATTAACAAAAAATCAAGAAACTCAATGGCCACCTAATAATTGTCCGGGTACTTAAAAATTGCCCCTTGGGTTGATCTCTAAGGTAAATTCTGAATTTGTCATGTTTTTTGTATTAAAATGGAAAAGTACAGGTTACAAAACTTTTGAACTAAAAAAAATGTTTAAAACTTAAATCAGTATGAATCAAACTTTACTGAGCCAGATTTTTTCTCTTGATGCGTCAAAAAAATAACCACCAAGAGGAACAATAAAGATATATTCATTATATCTTCGTGGAACTGCATCGAGTCTGTTTTGTCTGAAAATGAGAAAGGTCGACAAAAAATGATAATCACGAGGAGGATGCAAAAAGTATGAGGTATCAGATGATTTTGGGAGCGAAGGGAAACTAAAGAGAAAAACCTGAACTGATTAACTGTGTTTTTAGTGGATTTAGAAAAAAAAATGGAACACTGAAAACACATGCAGCTGATCAGTAGTTCTTGGAGATAGGGTTACTCACACGGTTCTGAAGCTGTGAGATAAAACTATTGATTAAATTTTTTTGAAAGAGAAACATAAGTTAAATTGTGTAGAATCTTTGCATAACATATGCTTTGCTATAGTTAGTTGGTTTTTTATGTAGGACTTTGTATCTTTTTCACAAATTTTTGATTGCTTTTTTCTTCAAAAAGAGATTATAGAACTCGCTTAGTGCGCTCTGAGTCGCAAGGAGGTACAGCTGAAAGAACATAATTTAACACGGTACACTTTTTTTACAAAGTTTTGTAAATGATAAGCACTCCTTAACTTGAGAAAACCAGCAATTAACAGACAATTCGGGTAAATTAGTTTTGACTAACTGAAACTATTAGCAACTATATTTCAAACTAGTTTGTATTCTTTTACTTTTGTTTTAAATTTTTTCTGTTTCAATGATAAAACTATTTTAAAGAGTAAAAACCAAATTCAAAATATTTTTCCGTTGAAATAATTTCCTTGGACTTTAAGATTTAGTAAATGCACGCTAAAAACGAACATAGCTTACCCAAAATTTATTGTCTGGTCAAGATGAAGATGATCGCAATGAGAATATTGAGTCAGGAAGTCTAAAAGTAGCCCATTGTATCAGCTACAATCCCATCAGGTATCTTTTGCAGTAATAAGTTTTACTATACCACGACAATGATTTTTACTGTGAAAAAATAGTCCTGTTGAAATTACTCAGTACAGAAAAAACAGAACTAAGACATATGTGTAAAAACCACAATAGTAGAGGATAAAGTTCGGAAGAAAATGAGTAATAAGTTACGTTGAATTTTCACCTTTGCAATTTTGAGAAAATTGAATAGAAAAATACTTGAAAAAATTGTACAGAATTTTAAGAAAATGTTTTCAAAATTACTACATCAGAAAAATTCTTTTTTTAAAATTAGCGTCGTTTTTATTGCTTATGTGATAAGGATCCAAATTCAAGGCTAAATCTGCACAATTTACGGCAGTCATAGCAAAATAGGCTCCTATACAATAACAACTAGTGTCAAAAAATGACTGAAAACAAAGCAAAAAGAAACAAAAAAAATAATTTTGTTCATCCTTCCTTAATTTGTTTTCTCATGCTTTACTCGCTCTTGCCTTTTTTTGCTTAGGCTTTAATTGCTATCAGCAATGGGATAGATGAGATGATTTTGGGTTGATGCTTTTTCCTTAATAAGCCTGCTCGCTTGCTCGCTCTTTTTTTCACTCGCGCCTTACTCGCTCGAAGTTTAACAAAAACACAACAAGTTCGAACCAGTTTTTATTGACACTGGAAAGTTCAAATTACGACTGAAAATGTTCATTATGATGCTTCACTCAATCCGTTTAGACAATTTTCTGTTGCATCTGATTCAACGTTGAAAAAAAGCGAACTGAAACAAACACGAAAACAAAATCCTCCCCACTTTCAATAGTGCGAAAATCAAACAAATCTAAAATTTTTTATGAATGAATTTTTGAAATTTTTGAAACAATGAAAACTTGAATTGACCTCAGGATGATATACCACTCAACTTATTTGGGAAATTTTTTCCTAATACCTGTACCAGCGTACAAATTGAGTAGATAAAACTTGAGCCCGATCGTAAAGTTCTTTCTGGAACCTGATCTAAACTACATTTTATGATTGGATAATTTAGATATTTTACCAATGTAAAGTATTTTATATTAACCAATCATGATCCATCTAACTAACAACCCACTTATTTGTAAGTGCTGAAGTTACTTGTAATTTCAGCACCAGAGAGATTTGAATTTAACTTAGAAATTAGTTGGACTCTCCCGAGCACTTCAGCAGCCGCAATAAACCAGTATACCCTAGATCTATTGAGCCTAGCAGAGACTAGTTAAACAACCTGAGACTAGATAGTATAAGAGTAAGATTAGGATCGGTATTAGACTAAGAAGTTGCACGAATCTATCCGGCCGAAAATAAGATAGCGTGACGAGCAGACGGTGTACCCTATCCGAAATTACTCTATGAGTTAACCAACTCGGTCCTAACTCATCTGGTGCGACCATAAGTCTCGAACAAGACCTTAATAGCTTAGAATTAACCAAAATAGATTAGAAATTAGACAAAAACATTTAAAAAATGTTATACGACAATAATTTAATCGAAATGTCTCTACGACTCAATAGATCAGAGCCAATATTCCGAACCATAACAGAACTACCCGGAATTGGAAGAAGACCTCGAACCAGAGACGACATACGACAAAGTAGAAACTTGCCATATAGCTATATGATAGTTAGGCAAAAACCAGAACAAACTTTTATATTTAGAATACTACTGGCAATGAATTTAGATTTTCATTTGCAAACATAAAACCTTGAAGTTAATCTTCAAAATCATTTCAGGCGCTAAACAAAATTATTAATATACAATAACGATTGATAAAAAGATCTAAGATCGTTTTCCTAAAACTCTGCAGTAATATACAAAACATGTTTGAAAAATATTTATTGAAAAATAAAAAATAAAAATTAGTAGCATGACAATAAATGGTTAGTAATCATAAATCATCCTGTTGTTCCAGCTCCATCATCTAAAACATAACAGCAAATCATAAACCCACTAATATCATCAAAACACTAAATCTTTCCTTTACACACATTTAAAATTTTATTAAAACTTAAATTCACTTAATTTTAAAACCAGATCATCAAGGCTTATCCTTGGATCTTAAATCATTTTCTACTTAATTAAATTTCAAATTTGATCATCAAGGCTTATCCTTGGATCAAACAGAACAACTTTGTTCTCCCCCACCCACTTAATTAGTGTCTAACGACCTCAAACGTCGATTCACTACCCAACCCTTTCTAAAGACCCAAGACTAATAGAAATTTTTAAACAAAACTAATCATTCAAATTAGGATAAACAGTGAAGAACTTCGGTTATTCATCCTTCACTTGACCCCCCCTCTTACCAGACCCAGGATAAATCTTAGACTTAGTAAGTTTAAAATAGTATCTAACGAACTACTCGCGTTCTAATTATACCTGAACCTTGTGGATCGATTTACTATTCTCCAACCCTTGAACACAATCACTACCCCTAAGTAAGATTAAGTAAGTTAACACCTTAACTTATACTAGCCACGAGAAAGTAAA